GAAAATGTGTAAAAAGTGATGCATTTTTGTACACTTTATTATCAATTAAGTCACACTTCTTTCATAAACTTTTAAAAGACAAACTATTAATATAAAAATCATTATTACATGTTATGTTCAATAATCATATAGTGTTGCCAATGAATATTTGGGTTCAATAAATAATTTAAAGTTCGTTACAATGCAATCAAACGATAAATTTATAAATAATAATCTAATTTAATGAGTGATTTATAAAATTGTTATGAAATGATAGCAAAACGTGTTATAAAAATGTTATTTCCGTTTAAAAAAACTCATGACTCCCTTCTTCTTATTATTCTTCTGGGAGTTTGGAATCTCTTCTTCGCTGGAAGTGTTGGTGATATTTGAGAGCGAGTTTTTCGCCGCGGAATACGTGGGCTCTAACGGGTCGACCGGTCGGGTGTTTGGCGGGAGACTCATATGTCGGGCCACCGGTATGTTCTGGTATGTCGTTTGGGCTGTAATTCAATGTTTGTAATAATTAGTTTCATTCAATTTATGCATTCAAACACCGCATTGAAATTAATCCCAAAAAAGCATTCATTAATTGTTGAAAAAAATATTTAGAGTTAGGATTTGATATAACAGTTAGTTGTCGTGCAATACAGCGTTAAAAGTGAAACAAAAGTTGTCATTCATTTCGTGAATCAATAGATAGTAAGCAATCAAACATTCATTAAAGGGTTATGGAGTGCGAGAGGAATGCAAGTCATATATGAGACAATTGCGGACAACAGACCGTATCGAAGGTCTAAATGATGTGAAAGCCATTCGTCGGTCTCTGAATCGGTTTCATGAGTGGTATGAATGGTATGAGTGTTGGGAAAAGCATACATAGGATGTGTAATTGGTTTTGGAGGTAACATATGATTATAGGGCGGCCGAGGATTGTATGCACTATAGACTGCATTCTGTGGCGGATTCGACATTATATATGCGTTATAAGGGTTTAGCACTAAATCGTGAGACAAACAAAACATTTGCGACATAACTATTAAGCGGCCCTCAAATCGGCAAAAATGGCATTCAATAAACACTTACTTTCGTTGTTATGATTATTATTATGATTGCCGTTCGTATGCGTGGGTTCTCCTCGTTGTGGAAAACTTTGTCGCAATTGATTCCTTCTTTGCTGATCCACTTCTTCGAGTCGGGGGTCGAAGACATCACTTACGGGCCGTTGGGGAACAAACTCAAGACTTGGCAACGATTCAAACTGATCGTCAAATTTAGCAAAATCGCCATCAAATTCAGATTTTTGAGGGGTTCGCGGGGGCGGCAGAGGAGGCGCTGGTCTTCTGTTAACAGAATCAATTGGTGGCGGAACTGATGGCAATGGAAGTGACGGTCGAGAAGTGATTGAAGCGGTCGAAGATGCCATAGGATTGGAGGAAACTGAAGATTTTCGGGATAGTTCTGGAGATGAACCGCTGGAAGTGTCGTATTTGGAGACAGTATTGGATTGTGGAGACGTGTGATTGTCGTTATCATCTGATTTAGTGGGCGATGCGGTGGCGGCGCCGCCACTATAGATGGAGGCGTCCTTATGGGCGTCATAACTGAGTAATTGCATCGATGGTGGAAGTGATGCGTGAAATGCAAGTTTGTTCAGCCATTCTTGCATTCGGTTCTCATCGTTGGTTGTGAACAGATATTCTGATCCATCGCTTAATTGCAATCTAAACACATGTTTGCGTTTAGTGTAGTCGACGGCTCGCAAGCATTTTGCGCCTAACACTGAAAAGGGCGGCGCAGAGGCCTGATTGCCGAAGAAGCTGTCCTTATCTTTAAAGAAACACAAGAGTTGTCCGCAAAGGACTGTGTAATATGTTTTCCACGAGCGGACAGTCGCGCGCTTTCCGCCCGCCTGTAGCTCTTGTTTGCGCTCCAATAGTCCTTCGCACTCGACGGGTGGCAACTGATCCGGTTCTACGGCTACCACTTTAGTAGATCTGAAGCTTCGTCTTCTTGTGGTAAAACTCGGTGTCCTCTTCGGTGACGCGAATTTCACACTTTCCGCTCTTTTGATGGTTTTCGGCGCCAAAAGATTTTCCATTCTTTTGACTAATCCTTTGGAATTGACATCCATTTCATGACTAGCTTTACGAACAGAGTCTCCGCTTTCTCTGTCATACATTTCGCTGTCTTCGTGTCGTCTTTCGTCCAAAATCCTCATTTGTTCCCTTTGTTTCATTTGTTGCACTCTTTCGTACTCTCTTCGCGCGACGTCCGCTCTCTTCATGTTCTCCTCTTCCTGTTTCTGTTTCCGGAAGTCGTCTTCAATGAGAGTAAGCCTTTGAATTGACTTCAATTTCTCCTCCTGTGCTATAATCGCTTTCTCAAAATCTTCGTGTTTTCGGATCAGGTCCTCGACATCTGCTATGGAATCACCTAAATTAGGATCAGTTATCATATTCTCTCGCGAAGAGATCCATCGTTCGAGTTGTTGGGCGTCGTGTTTGAACTGTTGGGCGTCTAAATTGTGTTCAAATATTACTCTTCTCTTATTCCAGATATCGATTAGGTTTTTGTGGGCGCCGTTCAGGCGATCGATGCGTTCGCGCACTTCTCCGGCCATGAAATGTCCCGATTGTATGATTATTTCGCCCTCTTTTGCAAACTTAATGAAAGTGTCGTTTCGGGAATCAATTTCTGTCTTGTATTCATTGTGTCGATTCAGTTGTGTCTCAGCGCTGATCACGTCCTGATCGGCCAACTCGTCCTCAGCGGTGATCAAAGCAATCATTTCATTAATAGATGCCATCAGTTCTCGATATTCATCGAAATATGTTTGAAGTGTTTCCGTTTCCAACAAATGGTGTCTTCTTTGCGCCGATCTCTTAAGCAATTCATTCCAAGACTCTCTCACCTCATCGTTCTTCGCGAAGATGTGTTCACTGGCGTCGGGGAAGAGTGAGGCCAAGCGTTTCGCTTCTTCGAGTAGCGCTTCGACCTGTTCTCTAACGGCCGCCAAATCGCGTTCAAAGCCCTCGTGAGAGCGAATCATAGCCTGAATCGACTGGAGGTCGTCGTCGGGAGTGTAGGACTCATCCAAAGCAGTGCTCGAATCCTTCTCATGAATCCAAGAGATGGTCTCATCAGCGCTTCTGTCAAAAGTGTGCACTTGTTTGGCGCCGTGGAGGGCGTCCTGACGAGACTGTGCCGTATCTTTCAACTCATTCCAAGCCATTAACACGTGATTTAATTTCTGGTTATTCTCTTCCAGTCCTTCGGCTGAAGAACGCAATGAAATAATGCGCTCTTCGTTTGAATTCAGATTAATAATAAAATTGTCAAAGCGTTGGATCAATAGCTCCACGTGTTCCACGTCTTGACCGTAGTCTTCAGAACAGGCGATAATCATCTGCTCTTTGATCCAAACGAGCAGTTCGTCCGCATCTCTAATGAATGCAAAGTATTTTCGATTTTCTGATAATTTAAATGCTTTTTTAGAACACAATTCATTCAAACGATTGAATTTGAGCTCTAATTCAGTGATCTTTGTTTGAATGGATTGAGAGTCGAAATGATTTCTTTCTATCAAAGCGTTTCCCAATTGATATACTTTTGACAGATTTGTTGAACCGAATCGTTCGGAATCGCGTTTTATTAGATCCAGTTTTTTAGTCAACGATATGATGGACTCCTCATCCCTACCGCTCTCTTCATTCTCGAGGAATGGCATCCTCTCTGACCACCAGTTCTCCGCTTCCAATACATCTGAAAAGAATTGCTGCGATTCGACCGCATCTAAAAGCCTGAGCCGACGAATAGCCGCTCCGTCTTTCAGGGTTTGGATCTTATTCTGAAGTTCACTAATAAGTGCCTCGATTTCATTGGACGCGAAGTGTTGCGATCGTATCAAAGAGTGGCCTTTACTGATGATTGTGGTCAGGAGTGGCTCTCGGGCTCCGATCTCCGCTTCGATCAACTGATGCTTTTTGCGGAGTTTTTGGACGTCAAGCAAACTGTTGCCGAGATCTGTGGCCATCACTTGCATGTGTTTCTCTTCAATCCAATTGAGTTCGTCGTCGACGTCGCGCTTGAATTGGAAGAGAAGAAGCGCTTCCTCTAAGTTCTCTCTTCGTATTTGTATGGGTTCGTGAAGACCTTCATATCGTTGGATCACATTCTGAGCCCTCTCTTCAATCTCTTCTTTCATAAAGTGATTGTTTTGAGTGAAAGCTGTCGTCAAGTCTTTGATTTGTTCGATGTTTTCGCTGTGATTATTGATATCGTTTTCAATCAATTGATGTTTTTTCATAATATTCTGCGAACTAATGAGATCTTTGCCGTGATCTTCATCAGTGAGAACCGTTTCCATGTCAGTCATCCACAGTTCCAGATCGTCAAGCATTCTATGGAACTGAAGCGCTTGATAGGCGTCTTGAAGGCGCTCTTTCTTAAGAGTGGTCTCATCTAAGAGATTACGCCACGACTTCTCGATATGTTGTAAATGGTTTTGAATGTCTTCAGACAAGAAGTGTCCGCAACTAATGAGAGACTCGCCTTCAGTGACCACTGCGTCTACTCTTCCCTTATTAGCGGCCAATTCGGCCTCAAATGCCGCGTGTTTTTGGATTTTAGACAAGAGATTAATGGGGTCTCGATATGACTCATCCGATGCCACCTTCAGCTTCTCATTAAGCCATCCGAGGATTTCATTCACGTTTCGTTGGAATTTGTGAAACAGTTTGGAATCCTTTAATTTATTCTTTCGCTGAATCGATGACTCCAACAGTCGATCCTTTCGGACGACTGCTGTCCGACATTTGTCCAGAATATTGTGTGAATCGAAGTGATTGTTTTGCACCAAATCGTTGGCAAATTTACCCAATTCTTCGATTTTCTGTTGTGTTGTTAATGTCTTCTCGAAATTGTCGTGTTTTCTAATGAGAGACTCGACTCCAGCCAAAGAGTCGCCCAAATCTTCGTTATTAAGGAACGCTTCTTTGGTTGAGAGCCAGTCATCCGATTGTTTCAATAGTTCAATGAAAAGTTGCAATTGTAGTGATTGTGTTAAGTAATGTTTCCTCTCCTCCCAGACCTGATCCAGAGATCGTCTCAATTCATCCAATTTTATTAATCCGTTTTCAATCAACTGTTTATTTAAGTCTTGGTTTTGTTCGTCGGCTGTGTTTTGAGGCAATTGTTGCAAAAGTTTGTGTCCAAACTCTTTGAGGTATTGAAACACTTCTTTTCGCGCCATAATCTCAGTCTTAATGTCTTCGTGTAGTTGTAAATCATTTCTTACATCTGTTATAGTGTTTCCACTGTTTATGGATTCTTTCATTCGGTGTTTAATTAGATTATTGGCCCAAATCTCAGTCTCTTTGAGTTCTTCGAGAAATTTATGTAAAGTGTAAGCAGAAGACAAGCGATTCCTCTTAAGGTGACATAATTTGCTTAAATGTCTCCAATTGTCCTGAACTTCATTAATATTGGTTCGACAGTTGGCCGTCATATCCGGGTATTTATTGATTAGTTTTCTGCCGTCATTTTCCACCAAATCTTTGAGTCTAATTTCAATGGCATTCACTTCCCTTTCGATGGCTTCTTGTTTCCGTTGAAGCGCTTCCACTCCTTCCAAATTCTTCGCCTCTTCTTCTTTCTCGAGTATAAGAGATTTTTCTTGGATTCGTTGATCCAAATCAGACAAATCTCTGTTGAATCGATGCACATCTGCGGCGTTGAGTAGTTTATTACGATAGGAGTCGATAAGGATTTGCAAGTCTTTCCACTTATCGTTGAGAAGATGTCTGCGTCTGTCGATAGCGGAGGGATTGGACTGCGATTGCGGTGACATTCTTCGTGTAGTTGTAAATCATTTCTCACATCTGTTATAGTGTTTCCACTATTTATGGATTCTTTCATTCGGTGTTTAATTAGATTATTGGCCCAAATCTCAGTCTCTTTGAGTTCTTCGAGAAATTTATGTAAAGTGTAAGCAGAAGACAAGCGATTCCTCTTGAGGTGACATAATTTGCTTAAATGTCTCCAATTATCCTGAACTTCATTAATATTGGTTCGACAGTTGGCCGTCATATCCGGGTATTTATTGATTAGTTTTCTGCCGTCATTTTCCACCAAATCTTTGAGTCTAATCTCAATGGCATTCACTTCCCTTTCGATGGCTTCTTGTTTTCGTTGAAGTGCTTCCACTCCTTCCAAATTCTTCGCCTCTTCTTCTTTCTCGAGTATAAAAGATTTTTCTTGGATTCGTTGATCCAAATCAGACAAATCTCTGTTAAATCGATGGACATCTGCGGCGTTGAGTAGTTTATTACGATAGGAGTCGATAAGGATTTGCAAGTCTTTCCACTTATCGTTGAGAAGATGTCTGCGTCTGTCGATAGCGGAGGGATTGGACTGCGATTGCGGTGACAGTTGTGGTTGTGTTGGATGTGATGAGTGCTGGTATTGTGTGAGGAGTTTGTCGGCCAAGAGATTGATTTGTTTGAGCCGTTTGTCGTCGACTCTCATATCGCTGTCGACGTCATCTAATTTCCTCTGAAGAGCCAAACAGTGCTCGAAGTCCTCTCCGGTGTCGTTGTGGCCGACCATCAGTTCCTTGTCTCTGATCCAAGACTCGACTTTCTCGACATTCTGGTTGAACTCAAGCATATCCTGCGCTTCTTCGAGACCACGGCCTCT